CTCGTCCGCAGCCCAACCCCCCCAATTAAAAATTGTTTTTTTTTCATTTTTTTTGTGTGAGGGGGTGGGGCCGGGGTTGCGCCGCCCCATGGCGCTTCCCGAATCCCCAACCCCCCTCCCCTCTGCCCGCCACGTGGCGTCAAAGCCGCGCGTCCCCGGGGTCGGCGGACTGGCCGCGTTCGCGGAATCGGCCGCGCTTGGCCGCCGCCGAGGGGGATTCATAGGTCCAAGCTTGAGCGTACTAATATAGTGGAATACATCGGATTTAGAATTGGCTCATAATTGAATAAACGTAAGACATCAATCCCACTTTGCGAAAACCTTTTGTAAATCAAACTTGGTAATCTTTCATTGGAATCAGAGCGAAGCTCTGATTTACGAATTTCAGATTAGGAATCTTGCAAAAAAAATAGAAAACATGAATTTCAGATTAGAAATCCTACTCAGAAAAAAAGTTTCCAGATCAACCAATTACAGCCGACACGAATCATTGAGAGAAATCGAAGTTCGGTTAAAATTTTGTCAAAACAAAAAATCAGGTAGATCGTGTTTTAAAGGCGATATCACAGGAAAAGATTTAGAAACAACTCCCCAAAAATACCAAGTGAAGAATTCAAAGTCTGAAAAACTACGGAATATAGTGCTCACAAGCACGATTGAGAGACTGTCAGGGTTAAAACTTTTTGAAATTAAGAATATGAAAGAATGTGTGGCCGCCAAGTAGATCACTTTATGCCGGTCCCAAAATACCCCGCTCACCTGTCGCCCAGCCGTTCCTCAGCGAACCGCCTCTCACGCACCCTATTACATCGGCGTTTAATCCTACTCCCATACACGGTAACCTGCCGCCCTACCCCAGCCACCCACCGGTGCGCCATATCCAAAGAAGAGAGCGGCATCAACCAGAACAAAACACACCTCGAGCAGGGAAAAAACAACGACACATCCACGAAACTACAGCAGGAGAGGAATCCCATCCACTTTACCGTCATCCATAGGCGAGTCTCCAATCCTCTTCCTCCCGTTAACTCAGGCGACCCACCGTATCCAATTACCTTTGAGTGGTTGGGAATTTTTTTCGACTAGTATGGATTCCACAGGGAAATAGAGCTCGAAGAACCAGCAGAAGGAGAGCACTGGCTTGCACTAATATAGTACACCGTGTAGAGTCCACTGAAAAGCCCCCTTCAACCACCTTCCTTCACTCAAACCCTGCCCCAGCACCTTCGGGAGAGAAGACACCAACCCCCCCTCCACCCTCTAGTTACAAAGGCATCAACTGCCATCTACGACCACAAGACTAGCAGCACGAAGGCCTAAACGGCCATCCTCAACCCAACGGGCCAATGGATGGTGTGACACAACCTCGTCGAGCCTATCAACGAGTCGTCACAGGGGATTCAAGTCAACAGCAGAACCGCCCGTCCGCCACCTGGAATAGCATCGTTGAAGAAGGGGGGAAGGACCCACACCAAGAATCCAGAACTTCCACTCGGCGCCATGGCCAACCTAATCCGCGCCAGACCCATACTCAGCTACGCCGCTTTCGGCAGGTAGTGTAGCGGACCTCGGGATGGCCTGTGAGTCCAGCCCCTTGGCCTGTTCTCACAGGCCTGTGTTATATTTGGGGTAGGCCAGTCCAGGCCGGTACCTCTGTCGGTACCAGCCAGTCCAGTCCAGTCCCGTCAGCCCGCTGGGGTATACCCCAGCCATTGTCTGTTCTCAGGCTGATTCCTCACTTGCACATTTTGGAGTACGTGCGTTGGAGTCTTGCGTGGGGAGCTGCGTTGTGCCATCTTGCTCCCYCTTCTTCCTCCATCTCCATCTCCGTCACTAGCGGAGCACCACACCTGGTGGGTCCGCTACAYTGGTATCAGAGCGGGAACGGTCCCCGCCCCCACCCACCACACCGCACAACAGCGAAATACTGCAAAACCCGACAGTTGGATTTTCGGCTGTTTTTGGGGCGTTATCGGGCAAAAAAGCGGGAAAAACGACGGGAAAGGTGCTGCAGCAGGAGAGCTCCCACGTGGCGAAAAAGGAAGCCACATCACGACACGCACGCGCGCGCCACGCGCCCCCGCTGCCCCGCCCCGCTCCCGAATTTATATTATTAAGATCCAGGATGCAAGTGCTGCTGTTGGGGTTTGAACCCAGGCACTTGCGGAGCCATGCACGTGCGTAAGCAGCCTCATAACACACTCACCACAAT